AAGAACTTTCGACTTTGTTCTATTTCTTGACCTGTAAAATTGTTATAAATAAGTGGCTCAATCCCTCTTGACAAAGTAGTACTTGACCATGTACAATTACCCCTATATAATAAATAAAAAGCCTTTGTATAAATAAACTACAACATTCTTTAGGCTTACCAAATCACCCTAGTTATATAATACTCAACTATAGCCTTAGACAGTGCCAAGTTAATTCTGCCTCTAACCCGTGAATAATCTCAAACAACGCTTTTCTTTGGTATGTGTTGGTTGTTCATTTGGCCCATGACAATATGCATCATTGAAAGTAGCTATTGCATTTTGCATTAGAAATTGCGTAAACTGGATTATTATTTCAGTGACTGTATTCTGTTGTTCTTTGAGGTTGATTTTTTCTTGGAGAATGTTTATATGGTTTTGTTTGTCAATTTGATCTATTTTATTGTCTGAAATTTTATTTTCTATATTTAAATCAATTTTTTTTGAAAGTTCGGATACAGTTTCATAAAAAATTGCCTTATAAATTTTTGCAGAGCAGCAACAGGATTTACACTTTCCAAACAGCATAGCCCTTATGCTTCTGTATAAATGAATTGAACATTTTCTATTTAATATGGCAACTTTCCAATGATTTATCAATAATTAGCTTTGATAAGTGCTATTTGTGCATGTAACTCTGGGCCGTTTTAATGGTGCTATCTTAAGCTCTATATGTGGAATATTCAGCTTACTACTAAGCTCCTCGATGGTTAAATTGGCTTTTTGTATTTCTTCTTTTAGCTTTACAACCTCAGCAATATTTTTTTTGGATATTTCTATCTATTTCTGCAAGAGGTTCGCAAAATATCATTACTGTTTGTCTGGCATTATTGAGTAATATAGTATCAATTATTTTATGAGGTGTACAGTTTATAATATACTGAAGGAGTCTCACCGATTCCCTTTTAGACTTTTCCCAACTAGATGCATAGTTTCTCTTTTCATTATCTGTAAATACCATTCCCTTTTTACTTGCAGCTAGAAATTTAAATGATTCGTTATCAAAACAGTATATTGTATCTTTACAGGTTTGTCTTTCTATATCTGATGTTTGAAGTTTCTGGAGTTGTCTTTTTAGTACTAGTAAAGTATCTCCAGGGCGAAAGAATGTTCCTCTGGTATTAGTAAAGCAGAATATTATCCTTAGCGCTTTTATGTAGGTGTGATAATAATTTTTGCATGCAAAATCTGAATGTTATATTCAATCGAGCATTGTTAGATTTAAGAAGTATGCAGATTTCGTTAAGATGGTCGTATTGACTTATATTCTTTAAGATATTTTCAAAATTTTTTTATCAGGTTCAATCCCTCTAGTATCTCCTATTCGGGTGTATCAATTAATCTTATAACTTTATTATCGTCTGCATGAAATACAGATACCACATTCTTGGGTAGATGATTCGCCTATACTGCCATCCGATACGTCATCTTCATCTTCCATCTTTACCAAATACCGTTATAGTTTGCTCTTCGTAATCCTCATTTGCTATTATAAATTTTGATATAATTAATACGTCAATCTCACCGGAAATTGCATCTTCTAAACTATTAAATTTAAAATAATTTACCAAAGCATTTATAAACGTAGATTTTCCTGCGCCAGTTTCACAAAGTAATAATATATTTATTTCTTTTCGTGGAGCTACTAATATTAAAATTTCATCCATTTTATTTTGGTCAAAAAAGAAACATAACCACTTATGTGATGTGAACTATTACACACATCTACAGTATAAATGTTTATTATATCCATATTCAATATGCTGTTCACATCTGATACATATCCATTCACAGCTAAAGTGTGAACAATCATTTGTTAATGAACGGGGCAAGGCACCATAAATCAATCTTTTTTGCTAGGATTATAGTTCGGTTTATTGCGTTGTAAAGTGCTAAATTTAATAATATTTGACGTAAATATTTTTTTTTTTGTCATTATAATAGTCATTACTATTTAGACGTCGTTAATATAATGATGAATAACTGGATGGTCAGGTCTATCTATTCCTGTGCATAATTTAGAATCCACTATAAAGAATTTGCTCTGCTCCTCATTTATACTAGATATATTTAAAAATGCATTCTATACTGGTGAATCATTATTAATAACATAGTCATTAGTATCAAAATATATATAAATATGATTTTTTGGGTACTTTAATAAAACTTGTTTAATAGTTAAATTCTTATTAAGATAATCTATTCCTCTAGCTTTTAGGATAGGTAATAGACCTGCTTTTATAGTTACTGAATTATGTTTATTAATAAATGATGTGATTGAGATTTCTGATAAGATGCTTTGTCGAAATTATTTGATATTATCTTCGAGTTTATTGAGGTTATCTTTACCAGAACGTATATTAATAAGACATTTTGAGAGTTTACGTCTAAATTTCGCTTCCTCTAAGTAAACTTCTTGTACATGCTTATTAATCTCATCAAAAAGTCATCAGGTATGAATTTAGAGATAGATTTTACATCATTAAATAAATCATTAAACTTTTGCTTTGATTTGAATAAATCAATAAAAATTTGTTCTATTCTTAGAGTAGTATCTTCACTTAACTCTATTATCATACGATCAACTGAAGAATGTTGCGATAATATTTTAGAGAATTCTGTTAATGGATAAAGAATATATTCTATTGGAACACCTTTACCGTCATTATTTTTTTTAATATATGATGAAAGTTTTGATAAGATTATTTTGGCATCTTCAACAGATTGAGGAATCGTATTAGGAATAACGTCTCCCAATAACTTTATTGAGAATCGATTAATGGTATTATACAATTTCCCTTCAATGCCTACGGTACTTATAGAAATAGATGATGAAATTTTTTCAAGAAGAGTCTACGATGCCATAATTACAGCACCCCACTTTACACCTATTACTACGTGTATATGTGTAGCCTTTGGTGTATTCACGATAAATATCTAGATTTTCTTCAACCGAAGTTACTTTGTACACAAGTGTACCTTTTATAGATCTAAAACTATCTTTTATATCGTCTAAATACTTTACAGATCCATCTAATGCAACTAAACCGAAAAGAACACTTATTCTTAGTTGAAGTTCAACATCTACATCGCAAAGTTGTTTTTTTATAAACTCTATGTAATTCTATAAAATTATATAAATATTATATAAAATTTTTATATAAGTCTACAAACCCAATGTAGACTTATATAATAAGAATTTTTATATGTAAACTATGTAATTTTTATATATAATTTTATTTATTATTTATATAAATATAAATCTATATAAATTTTATTTATATTTATATAAAAATAAATTAATTTACTTCAGCTATTTCTCAAAAGTGACTAAGGTAATCACCGATCAATGCACTAAGTAAAAATGTTCAGAATAATCGAAAACCCCTAATTTAAACTTTAAAATCTAATCCTAGTTTAAGTTAAAATTTTTTTGCTATTTTACATAATTCTACATAGAAATATATATATTTATATAAATTGATATGTAAACTCTATATTGGGTTTATAAAGGTTTGTAAAGCTACATAAAAATTTTACATAGTGTTACATAAAAATTCTACATAACTCTACATAAAAACAACTTTGCGATGTAAGTTATTAAATTTATCCATGTATGAATACTCATATGTTAGACTAGTTTTAGGGATATTTACTCTGCTTACAGAATTAAATAGCAGCTCAATTCTCAATATTGTAGTTTTACTAAATGTGTCTGTCGTAGCATCGTACAAGGATCCAATAACTGCAGCTTTTCCTAAAGCTTTTCGTTGCATAATTCCTACAGAAGTGTAAAATCGAGTAGTTTAAGTTGATTTAAAAGATAAGTAACCTTCACTCTTAACATGTCAGTCTTAATGTTTGAATTTTTAATTATAAATACGAGATATGCTAATGAAATTTTTTTAGCACTTACGTACTATGCGTATAGTGTATTATTGAATAAATAACAACACAGTAATAGTATGTACGTACGTACGTACGTACTTTTAAGTTAATTAAAATGCAAGTTATCACACAATGATATTGTGCTAAAATCAGTTGCGTACTCATTGCTGAAAATTTTTATGCAGTTTTTCTGCAATTTGATTGGATAAAAAAATTTTTTAGCTGACATTATTGGCGTTTGTTTAAATTTATCTAAATGGTATGCAAAATCGATCTATCATTGAAGATAAGCCAAAATTCATTCTTATTCATCAATGAGAACGATAAATTTGTCATATTTATCATGAGCTTTTTTTTTATTTTATTTTATTTTTTTTTAGATTTCCTGCAACTTTTATGCTAAGTAACCGGTTTTACGTGTAGAACAAGATTATTATTCATTTTAATTTGGTGTCATTATTCCAAAAATATAATACGTACGTACGGGTACATTCGTACGTGCGTACGTGTCTAAGTGCTGAGCAAAACAAAAAATATCGCTAGTATAATATAATATTTATAATTTAATTTAAATAAATTTTCAACTTCACACTTTTTTGGCATTAAAATATGGCATGCCCTGTAATTCCTCGAGAAGAAATAAACATATTATTGTTCAGTGAGACTGGTGTAGGAAAGTCTACGTTTATAAACGTCTTTGCAAATTATTTTCAAATTAATAATTTTGATGTAATTTTTATAATAAAATCACTTGAAAATTCATAATGCTGAATAGCAATGATACTTTTAAGCACCGATTATGTAAATGATTTGGGTGGTTATGCGGTTATGCCTGTGCCAGAAAGGTTTGTGATATTCGATGTCACATATTTAAGATCTTATTGTATTCCAAAATTAACAGTAAATATGTTCCAATTAATATAATACATTATGTTCTAACATTAAACTCTGCCGTTTCTTTCTGCTACTTCATATTCTTCATAATTTTTTTTTCAGTTTACCACTGGAATTATTTTCACAGTTTGAGTACATGTTGGTAATAAATAAGACAAACGTTAGTGTTGGCTGCTCTTAAAAAGGTTTAAGTTCGTTATATTTCGCAAACGCCTATGTGCGTATGCTACACTATTGATATGATAGCAGTAAATTTTGTCATGTGATATCGTTACAATAGGAAATCCTCAGATGTATTGCAATATTGAAACATAAAAAATTTCAACATTGTGAAACTATAAAATTTTAATTAACATGTGCAAAAGAAATCCGCTAAATGCTTGAAAAATAGATATAATAAATACTTATATTATAAGCATTAAACTAGAAGCTTTTGACACGTTTAATATTGCTAGTTTAGTTGTGTAAGGTTTTAAGAAACAAATAGACATGCAAGAAGCATTACCAAGAGAATTAATGAAAAAACGTTAACGTCAATTAATATATTAACGATTTGCATTACATACCATTGCTGCATTAAAAAATTCATCAATTATAATAGAGACAGAAAAATTACGCATAATTAAAAAAAGTCAAATAAAATTTAAATAGTACTTACGATGTATAATGTTTAGCAATCTGATTCTTTTTCTTTAACTTTATATTTCTAGACTTAATGCGCCTTTTCATAATGTTTTAAAAATTCGTATTTGCAGGTGAAAATTTGATCACATTCAAGGCATTGTCTTAGCTTTGATTCTGGAGACTCAAACGATTCCTATAATCAAAATATATATATATGTGTGTAAATGAAGAAGATATCATAAGCTGTAATACTGTATATATACCTGATTAATGGCGTCTTTGATACATTTAATATCTAATACAAATTTTGGTAAAATTTCAATATCGTTTACTGTTGTGTCAAGATCTTTCCAACCATGATTATAGCAACGTAAAACATTAGTTCTTGTTTTTTGTATACCCAAATATCTTTATTCCTTGGGTCAATTATCCATCCCAATTTTACAGAAGTTCCTTCTACAAAGTAAACGTTTCTAAATTTTGAATTTAACATATCAAAATCAGAATCTTTTGCGATCACTCCAACTTCAACAACAAAAATTGGTGTGAATAGTTCTCCACGAAATGACCAATGTTGTTGTTCAGTCAAATTACAATATATCCGTATTTCTAGGCGTAAAGGCTACGTCTGGTGCTCTTATTGTTTTTCACCTGCTATTAAAGTTGAAACCTCCTTGCGAT